TGTGAAGAAGAAGGATATTAGGAAGTTTCTTGATGGTATCTATGTGAGCGAGAAAGGCAAGATCGCCGTTGAGGAATGAAGTTTGCTATTGAAAATGCTATATTAGATTTTATATGGTGAAACAGTGATATTATTGTAGCTTTTTGTTTTACATCTTTCTTATGGATTTGTAGTTTTGTTTTTCGTTTTGAATCATTGATGAATGCAAATTCATTATCCTCTTATCTTTGGTCTTTTATTTACTCTCTTCCTACATAAGTTTTAGAAACATCTTTTATACTCTATTGTCCCTATATTCTTCAATCTGGTTTCTGGTTTGCGGATTTGTGAGTGACAGAGATAATGTTACTTGATTGGCTTTGTTTTTGTGCCTCCTTAAAAGTTATCAAATTGATTCTACTTAAGCTTGTAATATATAATCAATTGATATCTGAACTCTTTAATAGAAAAAGCTCCCAAGACATTAGATAACCACCTAAGCCATAGAACTTTTATGGCCTTAGTGTTGATCCAATAAGAAACCAATTTCTAGAGTATTTTCATTCAGGATCTTTACCTTGATTTCCTCCAACAAGATTTGGCTCTACACGTCTAGTGATGGTTTTGTTTACACACTTAAAAGTAGAGGAAGAAGCAAAGAGCTTCCAATTTTACTCCAAAGTCTCCAACAATTGATCTTGCCTTCAAGGTAAAAACTACACTCCATAATTAGATGCTTCCATTTCTATATGTATCTATTGCGTAGAGTTATCTATTACATGAAAAATGGTTTCAAGTTTGAACACTGTCCATAAAACCTACCATCTAAAGGATATCAATGTTACTAATCAACATTCCTTTAGTGTGACAGACAAAATTTTGTTAGAATACAAATTATTTTCTCTAGAAAAATGTAGCCCATTTATTATTCTATCAATCACAACATGGAAAAAAGATCAAAAATCTTGTGATTGATTCATTGAATATCCATTCATAAATGTTTATATACATATATAAGGTTTTCATTGAATTCAACATTGCAATGTTTGTTTGTATACATATGGTAAAACGAGATTAAAGGAGTCTATAGAGGAAAGTGAGGTTATTCTTGGTCAAAACTCCTATTTTCTCTCTAAATTAACTGTTCTTAGCTCTTTTTTTGCTATAGATTAGAGACAAATCTCTTCTTTTTTTACCTTATTTTTGTTTTTGTTTCTTTCTTGTTCAATAATCTTATCACATTACTTTCTATGATGATGATGATTCACATTTGACATATCTTAACAAAAAATTCCACTATGTCCTTCTCCTTTAACCATATTTTGTAACTTTGCTTTTTTCTTCTCTGTTTCTGTCTCAATTTCAATCTCTACCTTAGATAAAGTTTCAGTCTTTGGACACAAGAATGGCGAAAGAGAATAGTGGTCATCATCACCAAACAGAAGCAAGAAGAAAGAAACTAACTTTGATTCTTGGTGTAAGTGGACTCTGCATTTTGTTCTATGTTTTAGGTGCATGGCAAGCCAATACTGTCCCATCTTCTTACTCGAAAGTCGGATGCGAGACGCAATCGAATCCTTCTTCTTCGTCTTCCTCTTCCTCTTCCTCATCTTCAGAGTCAGCTGAATTAGACTTCAAAAGCCATAATCAGATTGAGTTAAAGGAAACAAACCAAACCATCAAGTACTTTGAACCATGTGACTTATCTCTCAGTGAGTACACTCCTTGTGAAGATCGACAACGAGGAAGAAGATTCGATAGGAACATGATGAAATATAGAGAAAGACATTGTCCTTCAAAAGATGAGCTTCTTTATTGTTTGATTCCTCCTCCACCAAACTACAAGATTCCTTTCAAATGGCCACAAAGCAGAGACTATGCTTGGTATGACAACATCCCTCACAAGGAACTCAGTGTTGAGAAAGCAGTTCAAAACTGGATTCAAGTAGAAGGCGACCGGTTTAGATTCCCTGGTGGCGGTACTATGTTTCCCCGTGGAGCCGATGCTTATATTGATGATATTGCTAGGCTCATTCCTCTTACTGATGGTGGAATCAGAACAGCTATTGACACTGGATGTGGTGTAAGTTCTTCAGTTTAAGAGTATACACTTCTTTCGTTCATTGCTTAATTTTAATATCTGTTTTTTTTATTAGGTTGCAAGTTTTGGTGCTTACCTCTTGAAGAGAGACATTATGGCTGTGTCTTTTGCTCCAAGAGATACTCATGAAGCTCAGGTACAGTTTGCGCTAGAACGTGGAGTTCCTGCGATAATCGGGATTATGGGATCAAGAAGGCTTCCTTATCCAGCTAGAGCTTTTGATCTTGCTCATTGTTCTCGTTGTTTGATCCCTTGGTTTAAAAATGGTAATGACAAACTTTTGATTTGACTCATTTCTTTGTTCATAGCTAAGGAAGAAACATAACACTAAACTCTTTTGCAGATGGTTTGTACCTAATGGAGGTTGATCGGGTTTTAAGACCGGGCGGTTACTGGATCCTCTCGGGACCACCGATTAACTGGAAACAGTACTGGAGAGGGTGGGAGAGAACAGAGGAGGATTTGAAGAAAGAGCAAGATTCAATAGAAGATGTAGCAAAGAGTCTTTGTTGGAAGAAAGTGACTGAAAAAGGTGACTTATCCATTTGGCAAAAGCCTCTCAATCACATTGAGTGTAAAAAGCTCAAACAAAACAATAAATCGCCTCCGATATGCAGCTCAGATAACGCCGACTTCGCTTGGTAATTCGCATCTCAAAATGTAGTCTTAACTTTGTGAAAGAACAATGGCAAAACTTGGTTTCTCTGTTTTAGGTACAAAGACTTGGAAACTTGCATAACACCATTACCAGAAACAAACAATCCAGATGAATCAGCAGGCGGTGCACTCGAGGATTGGCCAGACCGAGCATTCGCGGTTCCTCCAAGAATCATCAGAGGAACGATACCAGACATGAACGCGGAGAAATTCAGAGAAGACAATGAGGTTTGGAAAGAGAGAATAACACATTACAAGAAGATAGTCCCAGAGCTTTCACATGGAAGATTCAGGAACATAGTGGACATGAACGCTTTCCTCGGCGGATTCGCTGCTTCCATGCTGAAATATCCCTCATGGGTCATGAACGTTGTCCCAGTCGATGCAGAGAAACAAACATTAGGTGTGATCTACGAACGTGGATTAATCGGAACATATCAAGATTGGTGTGAAGGATTCTCAACATATCCAAGAACTTATGATATGATTCACGCAGGAGGATTGTTCAGCTTATACGAACACCGGTAAAGTTCCGTGGACTTCCAACTCAAAACTATATCCGTAAAACGCGATTAATCGAATGTTTTTGTGTGTTGTTAGGTGTGATTTGACGTTGATATTGTTGGAGATGGATCGAATATTGAGACCTGAAGGGACAGTTGTGTTGAGAGATAATGTGGAGACATTGAACAAGGTAGAGAAGATAGTGAAGGGAATGAAGTGGAAGAGTCAAATAGTGGATCATGAGAAAGGTCCTTTTAATCCTGAGAAGATTCTTGTTGCTGTTAAAACTTATTGGACTGGCCAACCTTCTGACAAGAACAACAACAACAACAACTAGTGTTCCAAGTCTTTTGGAGCTCTTCACTCTCCTTTTCTTTTGTTGTTGTTGTTTTATTTTATTTACAAAAAATTATCTGTTTTTTGTTTCTTTTTAAATCATGTTTAATGACTATTAGGTTTAGATTGAAACATTTTAAGAAGTAACTTACGTAATTTATATGTTACGGTCTTTATAATTGTTTTGAATTGTTGTTTAATTTATTTAAACTACTTTTAATTATTTATAGGTATTTCTGAAAATTTGAAATTGAACCAAAACTTAAACACTAGAGTTTTTTTTTATTTATTATAAAAAACAATTCAATGTTTTATTTGACTTATAAACACGAGTATCACTGTAAACTCTATGATTTAATTGTATTCTCATTTTTCTTTTCTCTTTTTGCTATTTTCAACCATTTTCTAGCAAATACCTTTTGTTTGAGTTAGTCGCATTAATTTTGTAATTATAAATTAATTGATTGTGGGAAAGAAACAATGATGGAAACTATAAAAAATATCAATTGTGATTTTGAGAATAATATTAGATTTGAATTGAAGTTATTTTGATGATGGTTTAATAATGCACAAATTGCATATAGGCTCTTCAAACTTATTTTGATGTTTATTTTTCCATTAAAAGAGTAATTAATAGCAGTGTTCAAATAAGCACTAGGCACTAAACGGACGGTGACTCAACGCCTAGCGCTTAGAACGCCTAATCGGGGCCTAGGAGATTTTAGGCGGTTTAGACGTTTACATTATAACACATTATAAATATATTATTATAAAAAAAAATCATATAAAACTATCTATTAGAAAACTAAAAATCTTAAATCGAAACAAAAATTAGACAAAAAAATTATTTAAGTCATAACAAAACAATATATATAGAGCTAAAATTTATGTAGTTGAAAATTGAAAAAAAATACATTGAAATTAAATTTATGCAATTTTAGGCGGTTGAAGCGGTCGGTTAGGTATCACCTGAGCGCCTAGCGCCGTCTAAACGACCACCTAAACCGCTTTTTAGAACACTGATTAATAGTAATGAACTCTTAATAGTCAAATTTAAAAATAAATAGTTTAGAGATTAGATGATATATCTTCGTTGGAGAGACTCCCTAAGAATTTTAAAGCTTAGCAATGTGAAGGCAAAAAAAAAAAAATTATCATTTATTTGACTAAATTGTATTTTTTTTTTAAAGATAAAAGAAGAAAAAACAAAAATAAAGGTGTGGGTGTGAACAAGCGTGTGATTGATGCTATTTTCGTTAATCCGATAATCACACTCAAACGCAAACACTAGAAACTTTGATAGATTCAAACATTTCGTCATCTTCTTCTTCTTCTTCTTCTTCTTGCGTTCTCCAGAACAAACCAATTTCAATCAAATCCACTTTCTTCATCTCCACAAATCCAATCTCTGATATTTTCCCACAAAACGTAATCCGATCTCATCTTTCGCAATCATCAAACATCAATGGAAGTCGAAGAAGAAGTTAAACGAATCATAGATGAGGTCAAGGAGCTTCATGACACCGCCGCTTCATTCATCTCATCTTCTTCTCAACAAGAGCTCTCTCTCCGTCAAAAAGCCTCCTCCGTTGATTCCTCTATCCGTCGTCTCCACTCTACTCTCGTCTCCAACAAAAATCTCGATCCTAAACTCGTCGAAAAGGTAATTTTCTCTTCTTAAATCTCTTATCTCTCTTTGAATCGTTTTCATCAATTACTGAAATTGCTTTTATATTTTGTAGCTTGAAGAGGATCTGCATCGTGCTAGATGCATGCTTGTTGATGGAGAAACATCTTCATTTCTACCATCAAAACCTCAAGGTTTCTTCTATCTCTTTCTCTATGATCACTTCTTCGGATTCAATTTTGATTCACACAATTGAGTGAAGCAGGAAGGTTTGTGAGAATGTTTTGTGGACCTGTGAATGTTCGAGCTTTGCGTAAAGATGTTCAGCTTAAAGTTAAAGAAGAATACAATCGTTACAGAGTTAGTATTTTTTTTCTTTTGCTTGCATGTGTGCTTCAATGTTGATTTTTGTGTTCTGATGAGTATTGTTTTTGGCCATGGAACAGGATAAGACTGCTCTTCTTTTTCTTTTTTTCCCTGCAACACTTTTAATCCTTAGATCTTATTATTGGGGTGGATGTTTGCCTGCGTTTCCTGTTCAGCTCTATGAGGTAATTTTAGAGTTTGGTTTTGGGTTGGTTGAATATTGTATGTGTTGGAGTTCTTGAGATTTAAAGTGTGAATTTTTTTTATCTTTTTTACTAGGCTTGGCTGTTGTTTCTCTATGCTGGGTTGGCTATGCGTGAGAACATATTAAGAGCTAATGGAAGCGATATTCGTCCATGGTACTCTCTCTTCATTCTTTTACAACTGTTACTGAAGGTTGTCTTTGCTCTTGCTGTTGATTGCATAAAATTTTGAGTGTTCTTTGTGTCGTGCTCTGAAGACCTATTTACCGACTGCAGGTTTTGCTATAAGACATAAATTTTAATTCCGGAGTGATTTGTTATGTTATATGTTGAACTTAGGTCCTATGCTTACCAAACACATGTGAGGTAGAAATTAGAAGCATAGACATGTGCACAGGAAAGGGTAGCTTATATGGTTTAGATCTCTATATATCTTCTGAGTTTAAACAGAGAGCTTTGGCTTCAATTGAATCCTCTTAATAACATACCAAACCCCCACCCAAAGAGGATCTCTTTATCTGTATTGATGTAGCTAGTTATGCGAGAGAATATATTGAGAACCAGTGGGAGTGATATCCATCCATGGTTCTTTTAGTCAGTCAACTATAACTGTTATGGTCTCTTAAGTTTCTCTTTGCTCTTGGTAAATTGGGAGTGTTCTTGGTGCATCTGTTACGTAATATATACAAAGTTATAGGGCATGGATATAGATGTACCATGATAATGTTGACCTATATTTACCAAGGATATGTATTGCTTGGTGAAACTCAGGGTACATAACTTAAGTAATGTTGTTGGTGCCTCTTCAGAGTACACTGAGTATATTGGTCAATCATTTGGTCAAGTAGAAATTGAATATCTGAATATTTCATGGGTAAATTTAGGAGCTTTAGCTTCCGTGGAATCCGCTTTTTGTGGGGAGTGAATTTAGGTGTTTCGTTTGGCTTTGTATCAAAATATTCTCATAAGTTGGGGTGACTTTAACCTCTGAACCTGATATGGTTTTGCAGGTGGCTATATCATCACTATTGTGCCATGGCTATGGCCCTTGTCAGCCTCACATGGGAAATCAAAGGTCAACCAAACTGTGTCCAGAAACAGGTAATGCTTAGAGTTTTTTTCTTTTTATGAAGACTAAAAAGTTCACAAAGTAAATATTATATATGACTTCAACCCTTTACAGAGAGGAGTCCATCTTTTCCTGCAATGGGCTATGATGCAAGGTGTTGCCATGCTTCTGCAAAACAGATATCAACGCCAAAGATTATACACTCGCATTGCACTAGGAAAGGTGCCTTATTATGTACACTTTTTCTCATCAGTCCAAACTTCTATCCGCTTTTGTAAAAGTAGCTCTAAAGTGTGCCTTGTGGTTAATATTCAGGCTAAGAGAATGGATGTCGTATGGGGAGAAACGGCTGGCGTTGATGGACAATTATGGCTGCTATGTCCTATACTGTTCATTTTACAGGTGAGCTTCTTTGTGTACATGTATGAATCAAGTTTATGCTTAAACATTTTAAAGTGTTTCATTTGCTCTACCGTGCACCAGGCTAAAGTGGTTTACTAGTTTTAATGCTTTCATTCTTTGTACTACTGCGAACATTTCTATGGCTTTGGAGATCCAAAGAACCTCATTCAAAACTATAGATTCTGTATTGACGCAAGTATAAATTCGGAAGTCAAAATTTCCCATTCAAAATTCTTAAGATGGCTTGTACAGTAGAACCTCTTTGCTCTTTCCACAACAATCCAAAAAAAAACTTTGCGCGGTTCATGCTGGTAATGTTGAGATTTTCTGTGTAATGTACTAGGCTTAACAATGCTTGTAACTTTTGCTAAAACGCAGGTGTTTGAAGCATACGTTGGACTGCTGTTGTTAAGAAAAACAGTAACTGGAGTTGTTAATGAATGGCAGGTAATTATTTTCACTCTTGTGGCATTTTTTTCAACGTGTCTATTCCCGGTATAAGCCGACAAATCCTATTCAATAGAGAAGGGAGTAAAAGTAACAGAATTATTGAGAGCGTTGTCGTTAATGTCGTTTTCAGGTGATGGTTTGTGGTATTCTTTTGGTAGTGATGGCTGTTGGGAACTTCATAAACACAGTAGAGACACTGATGGCAAAATCAAGAGTTAAGGCAAAGATGAAGAGAAGTAAAAGCAGAGCAGAGCTTAATTAGACTTCACAGGTCTCATCTGTTAAAATCACTTGTCTTTTTTTTTTGTTTTGCAATTCACACATTTTTGTTTTCTTAGGCCACGAAAACTCTGAACATCCTTTTTCTGTGTAAATGGAAGTGGCATTTGATATTTGATAATTTATGTTGTATTTGATATTTGATAAAAGTGTCGGATCTTGAAGATGATAGTGTTAAATATAGACTAGTATCCTTAAAAAGAAGGCCCAAGACCAGGCCCACTTGTGTAGTGTAGTGACTAGTGTCGTCGCAATGAAGCTCTGTGATGAATATTCTGAATTTCTGAGACCTTTCTTCTTCTTTCTCCCATTTTCGATTCAGAACTGTAGAGTCTCCAGAAATGCTTCCGCAGTTCTTCAGGAGCTTTTGATTTACCTTCTGATTCCGGTTCCGGGCGAAAAAAATCCAGAGCTTTCACTGGAGAATTACGGAATCCAGAGCTTTCTAGGGTTTTTCTCCTGTTCTTCTGCGTGACTATGTTTTTTTTCTTGTTTGGTTGGCATGCGAATTGCGATAAATCTTTTAGAGTCTATTGTGTGTTTGTTTTTCAGGGTCGGTGACATTTCCTTGATTGTTGTAAAGATATGGACAGAATCAGTGGGTTACCTGATGAAGTACTGGTTAAGATACTGTCGTTTGCTCCGACTAAAGTTGCTGTATCAACTAGCATTTTGTCTAAACGATGGGAGTTTCTTTGGATGTGGTTGACAAAACTTGAGTTTGGTGGTAAACTTTATTCAGAGTCTGAATTCAATAGTTTACAATGTTTTCTTGATAGAAATCTGCCATTACATAGAGCTCCCGTTATAGAAAGCTTCCGTCTTGTGTTAAGTGATCCAAATTTGAAACCTGAAGATATCAAAATGTGGGTTTTAGTAGTTGTTTCTCGCTATGTACGTGAGCTGGAGATTTATAGTTCTCAGAAGAAGCAAAACATATTGCCAAGTAGCTTGTATACCTGCAACTCGCTTGTGATCTTGAAACTCAATGGCGGGATTCTCTTGGATGTTCCAAGAATGGTTTGTCTTCCCTCTTTGAAAACTTTGGAACTTAAAGATGTGATATTCTTCAATGACGCATCTCTTCAGCGGCTTCTATCTAATTGCCCCGTTCTGGAAGATCTGATGGTAGCTTTATATTATCATGAAAATATGGAAAAGCTTACTGTTATTGTCCCATCTTTGCATCGTTTATCACTCTATATATGGTATAATTGTGAGTTTTTCATAGATACTCCTTCTTTAGAGTATTTCATGCTTGTGGATCGTAGTAATAGCAACTCCTATTTGATTGAGAATATGCCTAAGCTGATGGAAGCATATGTCAATGTTACATTCGCTGATATCAAGAGTCTCATCGGATCAATCACATCTGTCAAGCGGCTTACAATATCCTCTAAGGTAATCAATTTCAATCTATCAACTGCTAGTCGTTAATCTCATTTTTAAAATTCTCTGTTAATACTTTTTTTTGTCATCCGCAGGTTGCTTATGGTGACGGTTTTATCTTCAACCACCTTGAGCATCTAACGCTATATGTAGGGAAAGAGTATTCATCGAATCTCCTTGTCCGGTTCCTCAAAGACTCTCCTAACTTACGAGAACTAATGCTCCACTCCATTACGGATGCAAGTCTCTTCGATTAACTATTGTTTTTTGTCTAATGCACATTATTTCGTTTTTTTAAATCTAATTCTTCTGCTTGATCTCAGGATCTTGAGAATACTGATATGTTTTTCTGGCATCAACCGAGTACTGTTCCTGAATGCATGTTGTCGAGTCTACAAAATTTCACTTGGTCACAATACTTAGGAAGACCACAAGACAGAGATATGGCGGTGTACATCTTGAAAAACGCTTGTCGCTTAAGGACTGCAAAAATCTTGGCTAATACACGTTTGGTTCCAAAATTCAAGATGATAAAGGAGTTGGCACGGTCTTCTCGAGCTTCATCAACATGCGAACTCGACTTTGAGGATGGGAGTTTTTAAGATGTTTTCATTTATATAATAGGATTCTAATTTCCATGTAGACGTGTCTGTTGTCCAACAAAGATCCTATAACGAATGTCTTGTTCCTCTACTCTCTTGCTCGTATGGTTTATCTTCCATCTATGAAAACTTGTTTTGGACAGAAAAAGTGTTTATGTATAGTGGAGATATACCTAGTATGTCGACAGAAAAGTTTCAAGCTTTGCGTAAAGATGTTCAGCTCAAAGTTAAAGAAGAATACAATAGCTACAGAGTTAGTATTTTTTTGTTTGCATGTGTCCTTTAATGTCGATTTCATGTTTTTGATTTTATCTCAGTGTGGTTGTTTTACTGTTGCCATGGAACAGGACAAGACTGCTCTTCTTTTCCTTGTTTTCCCTGCAACACTTTTAATCCTTAGATCTGGATGTTTGCCTGCGTTTCCTGTCGAGCTCTACGAGGTAATTTTAGAGTTTGATTTTGAGTTGCCTGAACATTGTCTGTGTTGGAGTTTCTTGAGATTAAAGTGTAAATTTTTATCCTTTTTACTAGGCTTGGCTGTTGGTTCTCTATGCTGGGTTGGCTATGCGTGAGAACATATGAAGAGCTAAGGGGAGCGATATTCGTCCATGGTACTCTTACATGTTCCCTCATCGTTCGATTATGACTGTTATGATCTTGGAAGTTTGTTGTTGCCCTTGCTGTCAATTTCTTTGAATTTGGAGTGTGCTTTGTGTCTCATACGTCGCTAGTGAAGGCCATAGAACATTAATTTTAGTTTTGGAGACAGTAATTTGTGTATTTCAGAGTGATGTGTCATTATATGTTGAACTTCGGTCCTATGTTCAACCAAGCACATGTGTAGTTTAATGAAAGTCTAGAAAATATTGGGTTTCTAAGAGTGTAGTGTCATGTTACTGTCTGGATCTTGAGTTCTATATCAACCAACCAATTGGTGCGGATTTTTCTCATTATTCTAATGTTTATTTATTTCTCCAAAATGGATCTATTTTGGTGTGTTTCATTTTTTGCAGTTAGCAAATGATGACTATCTTTGAATGTTGTAAAATATCATGTGGCATGGTGATTGGCAAACATGGGGATTTTCTCCTCGAAAGGGTCTCTTTCATTTGGTATAGTAGCATAGACATGTGTACCAGGAACAGTAGCTTATATGGTTTTGTCAAGTAGACGTTAGATCTCTATATATTTCAGGATTAGAAATAGAGAACTTTAGCTTCCATGAAGTCCTCAGTGGGTGGGAGTTTAGTATTGTTATTATGCAGTGTATCTCTTATATTTGTATTCATGTAGTGGTGTTTCGTTTGGCTTATGTCATCGGTTGGGAGTGATGAATTAAACTCTGAACCTAATATGGTTTTGCAGGTGGCTATATCATCACTATTGTGCCATGGCTATGGCCCTTGTCAGCCTCACATGGGAAATCAAAGGTCAACCAAACTGTGTCCAGAAACAGGTAATGCTTAGAGTTATTTTCTTTTTATGAAGACTAAAAGTTCACAAAGTAAATATTATATGACTTCAATCCTCTACAGAGAGGAGTCCATCTTTTCCTGCAATGGGCTATGATGCAAGGTGTCGCCATGCTTCTACAAAACAGATATCAACGCCAAAGATTATACACTCGCATTGCACTAGGAAAGGTGCCTTATCATATTCTTTGTCAACCTCATCTAAAGAAACTCACAAAATCTATTAATAGTGTCAGATGTTAAAATAAGACAAGTATGTATCCTTTAAAAAAAAAAAAAAAAAAAAAAAAAAAAAAAAAAAAAGAGACAAGTACCCTTGAAAAAGAAGAAAGAGTCTCAGGCCCAGGACCAGGCCCATTTGAGTATGAAACCATTCCCTAAACCCAGTTAAGTGTAGTGTCAGTCACTACGAAGCTCTGTGATTCTGAAGTTCCAGAAATGCTTCCACAGTTCTTCAGGCTCTTTTGATTTACCTCTAATTCCGGTTCAGAAGCGGAAAAATCGAGCCTTTACTGAATTTCACGGCAAATAGTCTTAACAATCCAGAGCTTTCTAGGTTTTTTTCCTGTTCTTTTGTGTGACTATGTTTTCAATTGTTTGGTGTGCTTGAGACAAATCTTTTGAGTCTTTATTGTGTTTTCTTGTGTTTGTTTTTCATGGTCCGTGAATTTTTCTTGATTGTTGTAAAAATCGAGCCTCCATTTCACTGGAGAAAGACACATCACCTAACATTCCAGAGCTTTCTAGGGTTTTTCTCTTGTTCCTCTGTGTGGCTGTGTTTTTTTTTTTCTTGTTTGGTTGGCTTGAGATACAAGTCTTTATTGTGTTTTCTTGTGTTTGTTTTCCAGGGTCTGTTACATTTTCAGAACTATAAATTTTCAGAACATTATCTTGTGTTTGTTGGAATAACTTTCTAGGGTTTTTCTCCTGTTCCTCTTTGTTTCTTCTTGTTTGGTTGGCTTGAGATAAATCCTTTTGAGTCTTTTATTGTGTGTTTGCTTTTCAGGGTGGGTGACATTTTCTTGATTGTTGTAAAGAGATGGACAGAATCAGTGGGTTACCTGATGAAGTACTGGTTAACATACTGTCGTTTGCTCCTACTAGAGTTGCTGTATCAATTAGCATTTTGTCGAAACGATGGGAGTTTCTCTGGATGTGGTTGACAAAACTTGATTACGGTGATATATATTATTCAGAACCTGAATTCTAGAGTTTACAGTGTTTTCTTAATAGAAATCTGCCGTTACATAGAGCTCCGGTTATAGAAAGCTTCCGTCTTGAGTTAAGTGGTTCACATTTTAAACCTGAAGATGTCAAAATGTGGGTTGTATTAGCAGTTTCTCGCTATGTACGTGAGCTGGAGATTGATAGCTTTTACTATCCGGAGAAGCAAAACATATTGCCAAGTAGCTTGTATACCTGCAAATCGCTCGTGATCTTGAGACTAGATGGCGGGATTCTCTTGGATGTTCCTCGAATGGTTTGTCTTCCCTCTCTCAAAACTTTGGAACTTAAAAGTGTTAGATACTTCGATCAAGTATCTCTTCAGCGGCTTCTATCTAAATGCCCCGTTCTTGAAGATCTGTTGGTAGCTTTAGATTATCCGGAAAATTTGGGAAAGTTTACTATTATTGTCCCATCTTTGCATCGTTTGTCACTCTATATAGGTTATAAATGTGATTTAGATGAGTTTGTCATAGATACTCCTTCTTTGGAGTATTTCAATCTTGTGGATCTTAATTATGATAGTCACCCATGTATGATTGGGAATATGCCTAAGCTGACGGTAGCATATATTGATATTAAATCCGCTGATCCCAAGAGTCTTATCGGATCAATCACTTCTGTCAAGTACCTAACAATATCCTTAAAGGTAATCAGTTTCAATCTACCAACTGCAAGACTTTGATCTCGCTTTTTATTTCTCTGTTAATACTTTTTCTATTCGTCCGCAGGCTATGTTTGGTGACGGTTTTATCTTCAACCACCTTGAGCATCTCACGCTATCTGTAGGGAAAGAGTATTCATCTAATCTCCTTGTCCGGTTCCTGAAAGACTCTCCTAACTTAAGAGAACTAACGTGCCTCTCCGAAATGGATGTAAGTTCCTTCGATTAACTATTATTTGTTTTCTATTGCACATTTTTTTTTTTTTTTTAAATCTGATTCTTCTCCTTGATCTCAGAATTATGAGAATATTGATATGCTTTCGTGGAATCAACCGAGTACTGTTCCTGAATGCATGTTGTCAAGTCTACAAAAGTTCACCTGGACACAATACTTAGGAAGACCACAAGACAGAGATATTGCGGTTTACATCATGAAAAATGCTTGTTGCTTAAGGAATGCAACAATCTTATCTGATACACGCTTGTTTCCAAAACTCAAGATGATAAAAGAGTTGACACGTTCTTCCCGAGCTTCAACAACATGCGAGCTTAACTTTTATTGAGGTTTTGAATCATTAGATGTTTTCATTGATATAATAGGATTCTAAATTCCACCTAGACTCGTCTGATTGTCCAACAAAGATATGTAATGAATGTCTTGTTCTTTCACTCTCCTGCTTGTATGGTTTTTCTTCCATCTCTGAAAATTTTATTTTGGAAAAAACCTTGTTTATGTATAATGGAGATATACCTTGTATGTCGTCTAGAGCTATCGTAAGATGTATGGATGTAAACATATAATGGAGATGCTTTGTGAACAAGAAAAGAGAAATAACTCTGTTTTGGAACATATGTCTCATTGCACTTCTCATACAGTATTAGTTCTCAAATTCGACAAATGTTAAGGTCAACTTATTCGATGCTTGTAACTTGTAAGGTTCAAAGGCTCTATTTTACAGATTTGCACTTACTTGAAAATGAGGTCTTGTATTTTTTTCCCTCTGCGGACTAATTTCAGACACGGTAATGTGTGTATCTCTGAGTGATATGTCATGCTATATGTTAAACTTGAGTCCTATGCTCACCAAGAAAATGTGTGTAGTTCAATGGAAAGTCATAGGACAATTTGTGTTTATAAAACTGTTGTGTCATGATAAATGTGTATATTAGGTTTATATTTCTGGGTGTCTTCATCTCTCTCTCTTTTTATCTTATTCTATATGCTGGTGATTCATCGCATTATTCCATTGGTTATTTATTTCTCCAAAACATAACTATTTCGGCGTGTTTCGTTTTGTTGCACTTAGCAAATGAGGACTGTTGGGTGTATGCTTGACAACAAACCTACACGTTTTGCGTTTCTTTTGTTAGTATCTCTTCAAAGTACCGCTGAATTTATCGTTGCCATCATATAGATCGAGTGGATAACTAGATTCTCTAATCTCTATTGCAGTTGATATTTGATAAATCCCCTATATATTAATTGAGAAGCATTTTAAATAAAAAACTTTACCTTCACGTGTGATTTACAAGACTGCCATGCTGACATGTCGCAACCAGAGAAATTCTCAGCAAACTTAATAATTGTCCACTATTTACTAGACTAATTACATATAATGCCATTAGTGGTACTTATGCATATTTTCCCTCTATATTTAAGAGATTAGCAATTAATAAAGGAAATTAGTTAATAAAAACTATATATATTGACGAAACAAGTAAAAAGTATATAGCATAAATCATGATGAACAATATATAATATAAATGTTTATTATATGTTTTGTACTTATATTTTTTATATGTTTTATAAAAAACATTTAGAATTTTAACATATATAACATTCTATTTTTTGTTACAAATTACAAAACATCTAAATGTATATGTGAGCCCATATGTTTCTTAAATATATTTGGAACATAGTTTTACATAAATTAGTTAGTAACATTTCATTTATTACACATTCACTATGAACAATATTCAATATTAATCTATGTTAAAAATGTATCCGCTTACTCATTATTTTCGATATTATTTATTTTCAAACTTTTACCTTATCAATTTATTAAAACTTTTACACGGTTTATTCAATTTAATTAGTCATTTACTCATTTTAGTTACATTTTATTTACAACCCAATACCGTAGCGTAACAATATAAATTGATTCATAAAATGAGGGATATGCAATAAATCAATCCTAACTACATAGAATTATCAAGAATAATAAAAAATAATAAAATTAATACTTCCAACTCCGCGTGAAGGGGGGAGGGACACCTACGAAGACACTTAGCACCCAGTAGTATGGTATGATCATTTCCTTGAAAACACCACCAACCAAGACCCATAGTTGGATCCGAACATTTCCATGAGCCATCAGTCCGACATCTAATATTTTGTATTGGATCATTCAGAGCTTCCCTAATAGCTGAAGATTCAATCGGCTCCAATTGAGCTTCTTCCCACATTAATTTTTCACTCAGAGCGTGGTTTAAGATATCTATGGGTTCAGATTGACAGCCCTTGAAAACCTTTCTGTTCCTATCTTTCCATATAAACCATAAAATCCAGGCGTAACAGTAATTTTTCTCCCTCCCTTCCAGAGGAGGTGGTAACCTCCAATAGAGGTAATCTAGATTTGAATATTCCGAAGTTAGAGGAAAACACCCTGTTACTAAGGGAATCTCGGATAACTCCCATATCTTTCGAGAATGTGGGCACTCAAAGAGCGCATGATTAATTGTTTCCTCGGCCATCTCACACCGTTGACAGATAATATCGCATCGAATCCCATGATGAGCTAGTTTAGACGTAACTGCCAAGGATCCCGAAACTATTTGCCATAAAAAATGTTTTATTTTTGGAGGAGCTTTGATTTTCCATGCTTGTGCTTGTAGCAATTTACAACTTGGACCCCACTCAATCGTTTCTGTCATAGATTGGGCAAGCCGATAACCTGACTTTACCGTATACCTTCCTGAGTTTGTATGATGCCAAATAAGCTTATCCGGCTTATACATTTGACTTATAGGGAGACCCCTAATGATTTGTATATCTTCCGGGTCCATAAATTCTTGCAAAATAGGTAGGTGCCATTGTTTAGATACCGGATTAATTAAATGGTTAACCATCAGATTTGGATGGAGGATTTTTCCTCTGCCTCTTGCAGGACGTGGGTTAATATTTGGAATCCACGAATCCCGCCATACCGATAGATTAAAGCCAGATCCTAGATTCCATCTTGCTCCCATTTCAACTAGTTTTTTTGTTGAAAAAATACTCTTCCAGCCAAACGATGGAGAGTTTGGTTTTTTTGCTTGTAAAGGATGAACATTTCTAAAATATCTACCTTTAAGCACTCGGGCTATTAAAGAGTTCAGATATTGGATTAAACGCCAATACTGTTTAGCCAACATGGCATCATTAAATTTATCAAGGGAGTGAAATCCTAAACCTCCTTCTTCTTTATCCTTACACATTTTCTCCCATGCTAGCCAATGGAGTCCACGATCTCTCCCATTGGAACTCCACCAGTAGTTTGAAATAGCACTTGTTAACTTAGATATTAACTCTTGAGGAAGTTTAAAACAAGACATGACATATGTTGGAAGAGCCAAAGCAACAGACTTAATCATTGTTTCTTTTCCACCTTTTGACAGATACTTGGCTGACCAACCATTAATCCGTTCATTAAGTCTTTTTCCGGACATTAATCCGTTCAGGAAGTTTAAAACAAGACATGACATATGTTGGAAGAGCCAAAGCAACAGGTTTTACAAGTTTTTACAAAATCAAATTTGTAATTTTGATGTGTGCACATTCTCATGTTTTCCTTATATATTTGTGATATCTTTTATTAAAAGAAGGGTAATTTAGTCATTTTGTATATAAAAAGGGGTATTTTTAAAATGGACAGCCAAATGGGGCATTTTTATTGAAAAAGGGGCATTTTTGTGAGTCTCCCTAAAAAAAAAGTAAATTTTTTCCGCATATACCAAGATTTGAATTTTTAAAAACGAATATAAATTATTCATTGTATGAAAGAACAAATTTAACGGGTCAAAAATTCGTATTTGAGTAATATATTCCTTTTTTTAATATCATCAATACTTAATAGATCAAAAATTTATGAAGTATAAATACTCTAATTTAATTTTTTGAAACAAATATTTATAATAGGCGGCGGGTTGAATATAATGTATTATATGATGAAATGAGTTATGATCCTTATAACTATTTGAATATTTCTATTTAATTTCATATCATTTTTTTAATTCATAATTTTACATAATACAATAAATTTTTTTAAAGATTTTAATTTGGAACATTTTAAATAGTTTAATTTAATATATTAAAGAATATCATAAATATTTAATAGATTAAAAAGATAAAAAAAATTATAAATACATTAATTTGATTTTCTAAAAAGATATGTTTAAAATATTTATAGTAGGCGGCGGGTTAAATGTAATGTATTATATAGTAGAAAGTTATGATCCTTATAACAGACGGCATTTTAAGATTTTATGATGAGATGAGTTAAATAAGGTTTGACACTTCTAAATATTTGAAAATTTGATTCTGCAAGCAATTTTGAAAATAATAAATAATAGACTGTGCCGCAATATTTTCATACGGATTGTAAAATGAAAATATAGAATCCACACACGGATTGAATTTGATATTATTATATACCAAATATATGTTCATAACATATTTGATTATGTGATTAATTGGTAAATTCTGTAATTAGCTCAAACAAATCTCTATTTCAACAACCAATGAATCAGAATTTGAAAAAATAATTTTCTAAATTAATTCAAAATAATAGCTAATTTTCTTAAGTAATTCAAAATAATCTACGTTTTAGATGCGATTCATTTATGATATTTTGATTTTTGATCTAACTAAATTATATGCACTCTCATTTTGTGGTTGTTATCATAAATTAACTCATTGTTCAAACAATATTAATTTTTTAAAAAAATAATCTTATTTTCCGTTTTCATATCTTAAAAAAATATCCATAATTGAATACTATAGAAAAAGGAAAATATATTCATTCTAATATTATATATAGGGATTGACAAAAAAATATTATTTTTTCACTTACTATTATAATATATCACAACTTTATTCTAAAACATAAAATTTATAAAACATAAAATTTATAAATTTTGTAATAAATGAAATTCAACCAGTACTATAGTACGGGTGATGATCTAGTATATATATATAGCCTCACTATCCAATGGAGAAGATATTCATTGACCTGAAAAACAAAGAGAGAATAACTGATTAAATTTCCATGAAAGTACTGTACAATGTACATAATCAAATTTGTTTTCCATCAAAAAATGAAGTCAAGCCATCGTCATTCGTTTTCTCTTTATGAAATTGTTTCTCAGATTATTGAACTGGGAAAATAATATATTATTACCTCGCTGTCTTCTGGTTCTAGTGGCCAGTCATATTGAATAAGAGGAATGTGTTGGATTTTATAGTAATCTTCTCCTCCTTTGGAAACTTTCTTCTGAAATTCTCTTTGATCTGTGTGGATAGTCAATTCCTTTAATGAAGTGATAAATCTCAGCCCATCTGGAAGCTCCTTTAATTTCTTACAGTATCCAATATCAAGAGTATGAAGCCGTGGCATGGAGCCTTCTTCTACTATCCACTCTTCCCATTCCTCTAGTTCCCATATTGAAAGCTTGTGCAATTGAAGAAATCCACCACTGGAGCAAACCATTCTCCCCCCAACATAAGCGTTCCACCATAAAGAAACCACTTTCAATTGTAGCAGTTTCTCTAGAATTGGCATTGGATCCTCCTCCAAACGACAATATTGTAGAGATATGGTTGTAAGATGAGAAGGAAAATGTTGCACATCAGGTAACATCAACTTCGGGTGTTTGAGATGAACGGAATTCTCGGGAGATTGTATAGTAAGATCTTCCAAGTGTCCCAATTTACTTAGAGTTGAAGATAAAGTTTCCATATGCCACCCCTCACCACTGATTAAGATATGGAGACTCCTTAGCCTTATCATACAGTGAAGATCCGTCACACTGCTATGCTCTGCTGAGAAATTCTTCAACGTCTCCAATTTGAGTAGATTACCCAATTCCAATTTTGTCCTACTAGTTGTTTCAAATGGTAAGCAGAGGTATCTCAGTTCTAACATATCTTTAAAGACATTGGGCACGTCAGTCAGAATGGAGGTATTTAGATTAAGATAGAGCAGCGACTTCAGGTTCCGCAAAGATGAAGGTAGATGAGTTACATCTGTCCACTCTAAACTCAAATACTTCAAGTGGATGAGCTTTCCAATGCTAGAGGGTAACTTCACTCCCTTAAAACGAGCTCCACTGAGATCTAAAACCCTCAACAATGGTAACTCCATTAAGTTTATTGATCTCATCGTAAACCAATGCTCAACTGGAATAAACAAGAGAGATCTAAGTTTGGAGTTCTTCATCTTCCTCTCTCCATTAAAAGTATTTGTACAGTACACAACGAGTCTACGTGATTTGCTAGAAGCTTGAGAGTGTACGCTTGAGCTGCAGGTTCGATCACTAACAATCTGCAGAAAGTTCTCTTCCTTGGCTTTTAACAAACATATCTCTCTCATCAAGTCATGCAACTGACAATTTTCAAATCTCCAAGTCAACATGTTTCTTTCAGAAATAACCATATTTCTCTTCACTAACTCTTCTATGTAGAGATCCGCATTATCTCGAATGGAAGCTCCCTCGTAATGCCTAGTATTTGTTATTCCTTCTGCAGCCCAGACATAAGACAATCTGTCTATATCTATTTCATGATCTTCTGGATAAGAGGCTAGGTAGAGTAAGCAGTGCTTCAAATAACTAGGCAATCCTTCAAAGCTCAAAGACAGAACATGATTAAGTGAACTGCTATCGTCATCATTGGAACTAATCCCCCCTTCAACTATGTGAGATTTAATATTCTCAGATATCATTTGCCACTGACGTGGTGTGTGTTGGGCAGCTAACAACCCTCCTAACACTTTGACAGCCAATGGTAGTCCTCCACAATGTTTTATCATCTCCTTAGCCATCTCTACCATATCTTTATCCATTATATATCCTACACAACATTATGCAGTCAAATATCAATTAGCGTTGGATGTTTAATTTTAAGATATAGTGAAACTAGACGCGTTTGAGATATCGTAGATGGCTTTCTTAAGGATGAGAGAATCATGCATGATCATGGTAAATTAATTTTGGTTATCAAAAGAAAAATCTCGCAGATTTTGATTTTAGTGATTTAGTGGGCTCGGTTCTTTTACGTATTGTTATTGACATCATTTAGAATTATTAAAATATTTCAAGTGATAATGTTTTGACAAAAAGAATGAGCTTATAATTCTTCGCCAATCAATTGTGATTAAGGTGTTTCGTGGATAAATGAATTTGTAATTTATGCTTGTTGACTGCCTAATTTGAAAATATGAGCTTTGTTCAACTAAGTGATTAACGAAGTAGTTGGTGCCATGGAAGTGGATTGACTTTCCTCGAGTGTGTTACTCGTGATCCACAACTTTAAATATTGGCTCATCTGTGGTTGTTTATGTTTATAGTCTTTACCTTTGTTTTTTACCTCCACTACTTTTTACCTTTGTTTGCTTGATCTCGCTGAATTTACTTTAGTTTTCTTTTAATGGCTCTGTAATTTTCTATTGGTTTATACACTATGTCACTATGCTTAGCATTTTCTAAAATGAAAACCCCAAAGAAATAGAAAATGAGTTTTAAAAAAAACCCAGAAAAACAATTTGCAATATATATTTAAGTGTTTTTTGCTCCTTTTTCTAATTTATTAATTTATTGCACAGCAGGAAGCTTAATACGAAACTCATATTTTTCCTGTTTATTATTTTCTTTTGCAAACATAAAAGAGGGAATTTTGTGAAAATAAATTGAGGAAAAAATAGTTTGATTTTATGTATATATAATTATATATATAGATATATGGTCGGTTTATGTAAAGCTTACCAGTTGTGCCATTCTTAGGAAATGCTATCATTTGTAAAAGTTTCCAACATTCGTCAAGAGTTAGGCCTTCTGGTTTAAAGGTGACACATTGTGGATGTACATCATCATTGCGAGAAGTAAGCAGCACCTTCCAACCAGCTGCAATTAACCAACATAAGTGTTTATGAGCAATTTGTGGGCCTTTTGATTATCTTCCTTAAAAGGTAAAAAAAGAAAACGAAAAAATCTAGCTTAAGCGTATATTGTACTAAAGAGGTAACCTTTTCTCTCTGGAAACATTCGCTTTATTGTGTCCCAGTCTGTACTTTTCCATACGTCATCAAAGACGATCAAAGCCTTTTTTGTTTCCAACAATTGAATGAGTTTCTCCTGAAGTTCGTCTTCATTCATGTTAGCAACGTAATCTCCATGACTAAGATTCTTCAAGATGGTCTCCCACACATGCTTCCGTGTAAACTCTTGCGATACACACACCCACGCAAGTCCATCATAATGACCTTTTACCTTATCATGATTAAAAACTTGCCGGGCAAGGGTGGTTTTGCCAAGACCACCCAAGCCAGTTATAGATACCCCAAGACTGCTATCGTTTCCCACCAATTCCTCAACCAATTTCTCAACATTTTCCTCCAAACCAACAAGATTGGTTTCAGATTCAATAGGAAATGTATGCCGCATCTCCCTTTTTCTATCCTGTTGAGCTTGCAAATACCCACCTTCAATAATGTTCGATTGTATGCCTAAAGTCTGCATAACCTGGATCACTTTGGAGATTCTCGTACTAATGCTTGTGATTTCTAAGGCAGTACTCTTCCTATGACCACTATGAATGCAAGCAAGACTTCTCATGTGATTCTTGATGCCACTTCTTTCACTTTGTTCTCGCTTTAGAAATGTTTCAATTATATCCTGAGCATCGTACGTTATTTCCTTTACGTCGTCCACACAGTTTCTTGCAAGTGCAGTTGTTTGTTTCCTTGCATCCACATCACTCAGAAAGGACATTAACATCTTCAGATCACTCTTTAGCTGAGTAATTTGCTCTTCAACTCCCCGAAATCGCTGATAATCTTCGCTCACGAGTTCCCAAAGCTTTTCAACACCGAACGATACAATTGCGTCAACCATAATTGTCCTGTTTTAGAGGAAACGTGAGTAAGTATTAAATTAGAGGTAATGAAGAGGAAACCATAGCAAGGAAAGGAACCATCCTCTCATTGATTTTCAAACTGGCTACTTGCATTTCTATTATTATTAGCATACATGAATACTTCACAAAATTACAAAAGCTGAAGATAAAGACTCTGAAGGTTTAAATTTGATACTTTAAGTTTCTTCTTATTGGGTTACTTGGCAAATCATTTTAGATATTTTTTTTTTGCAATAGTTAACACATTTAATGAAAACAATTAATAAACCACTCAATTAATATATGTCAAAATTATTTAATGCCTGTACAATATAAAGAGACTTGGACTTCTTTTTTCTTTTGAGCAAATTCTTGGTTTCATTCATTCAAATCAATTCCAAGTACAAAGAGAAGAAGGATTCAAAGATCCCAAAGTTTAAAACATTACAAAGAAGGGCATTCCCCCATGCCACAAAAGGATAGATAAAGTAGATCGATATAGATTCCATGAGAGCTTTGAGACAAAGGCTAGATAGCGATAAAAAGACTTGGACTTAAGATGACTAAATGACCTAATATATATTTCATTACCTTAGCCATTAAATTTTCATATTTTCCAATTTGTAACAGTTAACTAAAACTTCCAAAATATTGTGTAGATATAATATGAAGTTTAGAAATATTGTGTAGATATAATATGAAGTTTACTTAGGTCTTGGATCGGACTCAGATTATAATTCTCAGTTTTCGTTTTTTGTTGTTGTTGTGAATCATTAAAAGTGTTAAATTTCTAAGATGGTTAACTGAATCTTAGTTAAATTTTTTTTTTTTTTTTTTAGGAATTTAAGATCTTTCAAAAAGATAATTTTTTGTTTCACATCACAAGGTAAAACATATTCTATTGTGCACGATGAATATTACATATTATGATGTGCATAAACTAAAGACGATTAGAAGACATCAAATGCACAAAAAAGATCCGAGAAATTGCTTCCACATAAAACTAAAGAAAGAAAAGTAATAAAATCAACATGACTCACCTTTTCTCGAAATCGCTTTTTTCTTCCAATGAATATTTAGAGGAAGAGTTGTTTATGCTTTTAGCTAGATCTCTGTTAGTAATAGATCGAGTAGAGAAGAGTGGACTCTTAGCTGACGACCAGCTGTTGTGAAAATGAATGGCTATAAATTCTTATAAGCAATTATTGAGGTTATTTTATCGGGAAAAAAACCCGAAAAAACCGCCATCTATTTTTTTTTTGCCGTTTTATACCTGTGTTTTTAAATTTGGAATAAAAATACCTCATTTAGTTTCAATTGCCTTTTAAAACTATCGTTTTTTAAAACTTGGTAATTTCGAACCCGAGACTTAACAGTCGTTACTGGACGTAACGGAATTATTTAACGGCGTTAGATTTTAACCCTACGTGTTTATATAAATATATACTATCTGTTTGCAAAATTTTTCGAGAATGTCAATGTGGCCTGTTGGTTGCACGTTGGTTTTGTATACCTCGTGAGCTGAGTTCGATTCTTCAACCTCTTTTTTTTTTTTTCTTTTTTTTTTTAAATAAAAAAATAATAATTTCTTCTGTAAACCTCAAGAGCTGGTGGTTGCGCGTCGGTTTTCGATTCTTCTCCGGTGGTGACGACGACTTCTTCCTTTGAGATCTCCGATGATGCAAAGGAGGAGATTTGTAATTTGATTTCCAGTTTTCAATATCAAAAATCTCTCATTTTTTCAGATTTAAAGTTGTTTACCAATCCGATTGAAGGTTGTTTTTTGAATTGTTTATGTATTATCACAATACCCATAAGATCATGGTTTTGTTTTCAAATCCGATGTGATTCCTAAAAATGATTAGTTGATTCTTTCGACATTGATCTGAGAGGAAGAAGTGAAGAACAAAGGAAAAAAAAAAAAACAGGTTTGGGATTCGAACCCAGCTCTTGTAGCTTTCAAAAAGACACACGCTACCACCAAGCTACATTAACATTCTCATAATGTGTTGCAAACAGATGGTATATAATTATATAAACACGTGGGGTTAAAGTTTAACACTGTTAACTAGTTCCGTTACGTTCAGTGATGACTGTTAAGTCTCGGGTTCGAAATTACCAAGTTTAAAAAAACGATTGTTTTAAAAGGCAATCGAAACTAAATGAGGTATTTTTATTCCAAATTTAAAAACAAAGGTATTAAACGTCCAAAAAAAAAATAGATGGCGGTTTTTTCGGGTTTTTTCCCTTATTTTATCACTTGTAGCCACTTGTCATTTATCACACTGGTTTCCTACCCAAAAAAAAAAAAAAACATTATCACATTGGTTCAAAAAGAATCAATTTTGAATTTTTAGCTGGATTTAATTATTATCTTCTTCTCTAGTTTTCCATAAAAATGGCTTCTTTATCACCCATACATGTCACATGATTCTATATAGGCCTGGGATGAAAATCTGACGGATTTGCACGAACCGAACTGATTTGCCTGAACCGAACCAAACTGGAAATTGGTTCGGTTTCGGTTATTGGCCAATAATAAATCGGCATGAATTATAATTAGATTAGTTTATTTAATCTTCAGTTTGGTTCGATTCATTATAACGGAGTGGTTAACCAATATTCTAACCTTAAATTTCTTCGTTCTTCACTCGTCTTCAACTTAGATGTGTTGAGGCTTTGTTTAGGTGAAGAAGATAAAAGATCGAAAGCAAAAGGCGGAGGATTTAATCCAATTTGAGCATATTTCTCGTCCGCTGCAAAAAAATTCTCATCATCGTAAAAGGCTTAATTTACCGAAAAACACTTATGTTTTTGGTCAAATATCCTTGATGTGAATCAAATTAAGACCTAAGACTACTCTCTCAAATAAGAGATCAATTGCAGTACTTTAGGGTCGAATTCTACAAAGCTCTCGTGTTCACACAATAGACTAACAGGTTTTGAATTAAGCTAAACAGAAAAATAAGAATCATACATATAAAAGTAGGGTTTCACTCTCCCATGATTGGTCCACTTGGCATTTTTAAAATTATAATATTTATTTTCAATTAAACTTAAAATATAACACATTTAATCATATATATTAATTCATACTTTAAATCTACACTTTACTACTCAATTGTAACTGAAATTACATAATTGTGAATTGACTATTTTTTTCTCAATTCATTGTCATTTAAACACACTATAATTATAATTGTAACTCTTATAATCTAATTAGTCTAGAAATATAACTTCCATCACTTATTTTCCTATAAATAACCATTCTCACATCCTCCTCCACTATGTCTCAAATCCTAAATATTCTCTTTGTTTTGTTTATGCTCTTGCATGAGTTAAAAACTCAATTAAGATATCATTGTAAGAGTTTGGTTATATTTTTTGTTTAATATACATTTTACATTCTTTTCAATTTTATTTCTTCTTTGTTTTTATGTATTTCTCCCATTCTTTCTTTGTTTTTTTTAATATTTTTATTTTAAATTACATATGTATATTATAAATTTGATGGCTATAATAAAATTACTTTATTGATGCAGATTCAAAAATACTAATTCCGACCATCGCGCAATAAGAGAATCAAGCTAAAGAAACTATCTTCATTTTTTTTACTTTAAATGTTTGATTATTTCTTACATATTCATGTATATTTATTTTATTTTTAAGAGTATGCATTGTTTTAACGAAATAATGTTTTGTAATATAATTGTGAATTGACTATTTTTTATTTAATTCAATTTTGTAATAATGTTTTGTAATACAATTTTTTAGTATACTCATCAATATATTTAGTTTTATTGATTCAACATATAATAATATAAAGATCATTAAAATTTTATTTAATTCAAATTTTGTAGTGTAAGGATTTTTTTATATATATATATATATAAAATTTGATATTCCATATCCAATTAGCGTGTACTATAAAGATGAAATCATTAGAATTAAACCTATAAATATAAGTTAAATAAAGGGGAATATAAAAAGAGATTAAACAATGAAACTAATCATTGGGATTTTTTTGAAAGCTTTTATTTGCAGTTCATATGATTTTATAGGAAATGTATTTAATTTGTTATTTACAAAATAATTTGTAAAATACTTTAGGTTATGATTTAGTTTATATCAGCAACTTAGACTAAATATTTGAATATCATTGTACATTTTCATTTTTATCACTAATAATGTTTATTTTACCTTGAATGCTCAAATATACTAAATAAAATTATTATCATAGTTGAACAATAAAAAAAGAATAAATTCACGTTTATTGGGCTGCTTGGCATCCACATCATTGCCATATAATAATTTTGAAGTTTTAAGTAATAATTTATAATAAATATATTTTATGAATTTCCTCACATTTTTGTAACCTCCATACTAATAATTATATTTATGTTATAAATGAAATAAATGATTTATATTTATTTATGTTTACAATTTTTGATGTAACTTCCATATTAATTAATGTTAGTAGTAATGATTACAATAAAACTAATGGAAAATGTTGAAAATTGTATTAATTTGAAAATTAAAAAGAATATAAAAGATTACACAATTTTGTAACGTTTAGTCCTTAAAATCTAACTTGTAAATTGAAACAATTCTTTAAATACATTTAATACAAAATAAATTCTTCACAATGAATTCTTTGGAATGTAACATAAAAATTTATGATATAAATACAATTAAATTTACTCATAAATGACATTCAAACATGATTGTGAAAGTTTTATCAAAAACAAAACATGATTGTGGAAGTTACAAAGTTATCTAACGTAAATATGCTTTTATTACAAAAAAATTCCCTATAAATATTAAGACACATATCTCACAAACCATCATATTCCAAGTTTTCTATTATTGGTAACTTGTATAATATTTTCTCTTCTAATTCAACAAATGGTGTTTCAATATATATATATATATATATTTGTTACTTTTGTAAGAGATTGTGAAGAGGAGGTGACATGAAACCAAAAAATCCTACGCACGGTCAATCGTTTGTGCTACTTTAGATGTCTTTCAAAAGAAGAGAGTAGAGAAGATGCATTATTGTAGGTTTTCTTTGCCGAAAACATTCATTATATTCAATCTATATTAACCTAAATTTGGGTTGACTCAAATAAATTTGATATTCTTGCAGAGAGATTAAGAAGAAATCAAGAAGACTAAAGAAGAGAAGAAATATAAGAAAAATGGAGTATGCTTCGAAACAACATAAGTCTCAAGTGAATGGCAATATTCTAAGAGTGTTGATGGTGGAGGTAGACGTTGAATTGTATAGAATAGTCATTTATCATTTGGTAGTTGAAATTTAGTAATGCTTTGGAAAAAGGCAAGTAAAACATATAATGAACCAAGTTGTAATCTCGAAAATATTAAGTGAGAATCTTAAGTCTATATATTGATCTCTTAACTATCTCATTCATCTGTTATTTTTATGTATGCGTTATTATTATTGTTTTGCTTACAAAATATATTTTATTTATTTGTTTTACATAAAGAAAAAATGTATACAATAACCCACGCGTCGCGTGGGCAAACATCTAGTATTAAATAAAAGCAAAGCAAGTAAATCGGGTTTTAAATTCAGATGAAGAAAACGTCAAGCTTAGGGATTTCTCAAGAAATAAATAAATAGTAGATCTAGCAAATTAATTAGGATTATTAACGAACGGTTCTAGAACTCAAATCACTAATTTATAGCCAACCACCTCTCGTATGAATTGACTGACTAAACCTAATATCAGGAAGTTCCACCTCTCGAATGTAAACTCCTAGAATTAGACTAGGATTAATAACAGGTTTGATTTGTTCACAGATATTCCTAAACCACCTCTCGAATGAATCTAGTAATTTCTGCCCACCTAAGATAGTTCCAGTAATAGATGACCTCTCGAATCTACCTATTATCCTATGATCAAATTCTAGTTAATTACTCTAGAATTAGCATTAAGAACAATCTAGGTGAAGAACTCCAAAGATATTATCCTAACAGGTTATCGATCTACTAATTCATCTAAATCCCTAATGAGAATCCCTAAACCTAACAAGCAAACTACTCAGACATGGAGATTGAAACAAACAACATATTATGAATAGAAAGCATAAAGAAATTCAATAAAAGAGATGAGTTTAGAAAGATCTT